ATTTAAAAAAATTTAAACGATTGTGCATGGAATAAGAGTCAAAATATTTCAATTGATGTTTTTGAGACATATTTCAAGTCATTTAATTTTGTTTTAATTGTTTGTTTCATTTTACGCCTTTTCCCAACAGCATTTCAGTCATATGGGCGGGTAGTTTCCTTACCATCGTTTCTGGAGAGTTACATCAGTACAAGACTACCTTTCTCCGCGCTTAACTACCAAAGCATCTCCCGGGGATCGAACCCACGCCAGAGAGGTAACTGGATTAGAAGTCATCGACCCTAAACCCTCGACCACGGGGACGGTTAAGTCAGTAAGTAATCCGGATGATATTATTTTTACTCCAGATGAGGATGTTCTACATTTAATGGGTATATGGATACCGAAAATAAGCTATTTTCGCGAAAATAAGATCGCGGCTACGAAAATAAGATTTATTTTTGAAATAGTGCATTTATCTGTTTGAGTATTCATGTAAGTAATATACGTATGCACTTATTGAATGATTTTACAGCAAATTAAAATTTCAGAACAAAAAAAAAATATTTTTATAAGTGAAGTTTGAGCCGAATTAAAATACTCTCACTAAAATATCTCAAATTGCCGTGTAAAGCGAATATAAGATCGGGTCTACGAAAATAAGATTTATATTTGATATAATGTATTTAAAACGTATTTTTGTTATTAATAATTGATTTGTATGAATGAAAAATAAATTTCAGAACCAAAAAAAAAATTTTAAATGTGAAGTTTGAGCCCAAAATACCATCGTATGAAAAAAGCTCAAATTGCCGTGTAAAGCGAAAATAAGATCGGGTCTACGAAAATAAGATTTATGTTTGATATAATGTATTAAAACCTATTTTTGGTGTTATCAAATGATTTGTATGAATGAAATATTAAAGATTGAAATGTTTTGTAATGAAATATTAGACGTCTATGCGGCAAATATGGTAAATCATGGATTTATATGTAATATAAATCCATGGATAAATATTCCAAATTCAGTATAGAAAGAACGTATGAACATATAACCAAAATAGGCCATATAAAATTAACATGGTTCATAACTTATATTTTAATTACACTGAAAGGATGTTCTAACAAGACCTTATTTAAATTAAAATTATTCAATAATAATGGTAAAATGTATGGACTTTATTATTTGCATTAATTAATTACATGGCCAATGCTTTTTAAAAGTCATGAAAATCATCGACCGTGACGATATTCCAATGTGCACGTGCCTTCATGTGTAGTTTTATAATTATGCACGAGATTTTGTGAATTCAGTGCTCAAAATCGGTGATGGTTTGGGCTTGGATTTCCTTTCATACTAAGACCAACCTTTCGTAGTCATCCGTGGTAATCTCAACGCTTTTTGAGATATCAACAGGAGATTCTGATTCCGGAGGCCATTCCTCACCTGCGTGTCGGTGGGCGAGGTATGGTTCTGATGCAGGATGGGGCGACCCTGCACACAGCCTGCGACCACGGAGAGGCTTCTACGACAGCAACAAAGTGAGAGTTCTTCCATGGCCGTCTAAATCCCCGGACATGAACCCCATTGAGCAATTTGTGGGATGAACTTTGGCCGCCGTGTTCGGAACGGACCGAATCCGCCCGCAAATCTTGTTCAGTTTAGAGCAGATGCTGATCCAAGAATGGGCCAAACATTCCTCAGCAGACTATTTCAAACTATGTTATGTCGATGAGACAACGATGTGCTCACTTACTGAGAGCTAGAGGTGGTCACACCAAATATTAAACCAAAGAGTTTTACCAGGACAGTTAAGTGATATTGTTGAGTGACTTTCCACATTGTAATTTTCCGCCATTTTGCGACTTTGACTTTTTATAAGACTGTTTTTTTCTGTTAAGTTTGACATTTTATCGAAATGTGATTTGAATAAAATTCTACAGAAGTATGCATCTTATGTGTAGTAATAAATATCCGAAATATAACCTAAATTGATCAATACATTAAAACAATATAGCTGATTAACCAAAGGTCTAGTTAGAACATCCTCTCAGTGTAGTATTAACTTTATTTTTTATGATTTTGCAAATAAATTTTATTGGAACTCCACTGAGGTTTATAAGCCTAAAAACATGATATTTTAATTTTTCACATAGATGATATAACACTTAAAACATATATTAATAAAATATATCTAAGAAATACACAAGAAATACATTGAAATTCATATGTTTGTGCTATTGTCAGTCCGATTTGAGTGAAAAGCGTTTAAACCCTTTTCAATTTTGGGTCATTTTTTACTATGATAATAATTGTCCTGGAAAAACGGAATAAATCTTAAATTATTCTTTTTTTAACAGAGTGAACATAATTGATTTTTAAAGTATTTCCTTAACAATACTTCTCATTAGTATTATCATTTATCTGTTGTGTCATTTCTAAAGTAAAACATATTACAAAGAATATGTTTTCTCTTGTTACGAGCAACATTTGTGTTAATTGAATACATTTTGTAAAACAATTCAAATATTGAGATCCATTTCATTGTGTTAACATTAACTTAAAATACTTACACAAGTTAAAAAGAAAACAAAGAAGTGAACATCAGGTTATGATGATGAAATTCGTTTTGGAATAAAGAAGAATTATTGCAGATGGAAAGCTTTGTATCTAAATTTGCTGACATTCAAAACACTTTTAACAGAGTCTAAATTCATACATAAGTGAGATAAATTTCTTAAGTTAGGATATTTTGGGCATACTTAAGGAAAGTGGTACTCGTTTTCTATAACATTCATACTACGATTTGAACATATTCTTTCATTTCTGGGAATATTTAAACGTCTTCCTTTTTTAATCATTAAATCATGGGATGATAGTCGGAATCTTGTCAGAGCTATTTTAAATTTACTATTTGGTATTACATCTAAATATCGTTCTACTTTTAATTCTTTCTTATACCAGCTATATGACTGTAATCTATTTGAAGTTCTAATTTCAGCATTCCATGATTGTTTATATATATCTTTATATATATCAATATATATCAATTATTCTTTGTTTAATAGTTGTTTGTAAAGATACGATGTCAGCATTTATGAACAGCCAAATGTTTGACATACCTATTTCATCGAAAAATTTTTGAACATGTCCGACCCAATTATGACCATTATAGTTATTACCATCATTAAAATCATCTTTAAGCATATTGTATGTCATTTTAAGTAATGTATTATCATTCGTATCCAAAATCTAATCAAATTTATTTTACGCTGTATCATCATAGGATACCTTCTTAATTCACCATATAATGCAACAAGGTTTGTACTTCTACGAACGTGTAATACACACGAGATTCCAGTTTCAAACATTTACACGGTTTTTCAATCGCTTTCTACGCCATTAGGCATCTTTGTGTGAAACGTTGCTGTTTTCGTTGCTAGACTCGTTACAAAATATCGAACAGCTAATTGACAATGGCGTAGAAAGGAATTTAAAGACCGTGGAAAGGTTTGAAACTAGAATCTTGTGTGTATCAGATGCTACTGACAGTTGTGAGTGGTCCAAATTAATGTATTTAGTAAATTCAAGTGATTTTGACCCGTACACAGCTGACATACATGTATAAGTCTTTTTTACGTACCGAATTGTTGTGCCGCAATTCTGTCTACCAAGGATTTTTAGCACGAATTCGCTCTTTTCCTGATAGATATTTTATGAACAGGAAGGGCTAGAGACTTTGGGTCGGTCTCATTTTGAAGCAAACGTGAATTAGTTTAAATAGTGATAAAAGTTTTTTTTAATTGTCTTGCCAATTGTTTTCACATCGGCCCGGGAAATGAATCCCTTGCTCGTAGGCTCAAATCTGGAGTTTCCGGCCTTCTCTTTACTATTAAAGGGGTCATTATTACATTTTTTTAATTATGTGACCATATTAAGATGAACACAGTTTTTTTTATATCAATCTGGTCATATTTTTTCTTCCGATACTCGTGCCTGTGAGAGTACACTATAGATTTTATTTTCATACATATTCTATATAAAGTAGATCTTATATTCTTGTAGAAGTTGTTTCTGGTTTGTTTGTTTTTTTTCGCACTAGTTAATTCTTGCTTTTATTTTGATGCTTTTTCACACCACTACCTTTTCTTGTTTTATAAGAGAAGATTTACTTTTGCAATTAATACAATTTTATAAGTTATGATCTTATTTTCGTAGTCGCCCTCTTGGGTTATTTTTGCATGCCTTCTTTCTACACTATTTTAGATATTTACCATATTTACCGAACAAACGTTTTATATTTCATTACAAAACATTTCATTCTTTATATTAAAATCAACCAAAAAATGCATAAATATAAAACTTACATAATTATTTAAACAGATAAATGCACTATTTCAAAAACAAATCTTATTTTCTCTTATTATCGCGAAAATCGATTTATGATGCAAATAAATATAGGGGTATTACACTTTAAGTATGTTAGGAAAACCTTATAGATTTTTTTTCATCAATGATTCATTTTAGATACTATATAAAGAGGTCAGTACAATATAAATTTTATTTAAAAATATAACTGCCATAAAGAAGTCATTAAAAGCAAATGACCAATCATTGCACCTTAATACAAATCTTAGTAAAACTAGTAATTAAAACGCGATTCCTATAAGATATCTTCATAAAACTCGCCATCTTTTTATTTTACAAAAAAAAAAAAATCAATTTCTTAATTATAGGGCTTTCGCAAAGAAAATGGAAAAACAAAGCTAGTAAAATATTGTGTACAATGTAAAACATATATTTAAATAAATAATAATCCATATCTTTAAATGAAAAAGTGGTGGCACAGTTTAATGTTAATTTATTTGTTAAAGTATAACTGTGACCTTGATCCCAGTAGTCATATTAATATAAGAAGTTAGGACTGGTCTTTAATGTAAAATCCTTTTTTTCTACTCTTACATTAACATATAGACTGCAATATTTATTTACCTCTACTTTAATTTAACAACAGCTGTTTATGGGACCCAGTTTGTATACTCAAGTCCCTTGACACCGGTTCTTATCTCTGGATTTATAATTTTGATAAGCTCGAAACGTAGTAAATAATTCTCCATTTTTGCATTAATTGCCAATTGATAACTCAAATCACCAAATTCCAACTTGGTTAATAGCTACTTCAGCTAAAACAAATGTTTAATAATCATATATGGTATTTAATAAATAGATGTTTACAGATTTTTATGAAAACCAGTGTGACATAATTTGACCCAGTAAAATCACTAATTTAAACCCAAATGGAATTGAAATACCCATATAATTATTGAAACAACAATTAACAACCATCATCGATAAATTTTTAAATCAGCTTAAAGTAAAAAATAATTTCCGTCGAATGCCTGTAGAATTTCAGGTATTTTTACCGCCAATGGCGCTGTGATACCCGTAACAGTTGCCAATTGATATGCAACGACGTCATTTTCGAAACGGGCTTTGATGGTCAACTTTGATGTCGTGTGTACAAAAATTGGCCGAAACTATTGGAATAAATTAAACGGAATGTAATCAGAAACATGGTCAACCTTCTCATGCCAATTTCCAAGACGGTACTTGAAAGTTCGCAAAAGTGTCGCGTTCTACCTTAATAACGGCCTGGCATCGCCGCCGCATGCTGCTGATGAGCCTGCAGTCCTTGTGATGAGGAATCTGGGACCATTTTGTTAAGATTGCATGTCTTAGCTCCTGAACTGTTGTTGTTTTTGACGTGGCGTGAAAAATGGCTTTCTGCAGCGTATCCCTAGCATGCTCAATTGGATATAAATTGGGGACCTCGCTGGCCAATCAATGCGGATTATAGTTGCCTCCTCAAGATATCAATTTGTGATGTGGGATCTGTGTGCAAGAGCGTTGTCAACCACAAGAATGAAATCATGGCCGACTGCGCCAGTGTACGTGCGTACATGGGTGTCTAAGATTTTCATTGACGTACATTACTGCCATCAGTGTGCCGTTTTCAATGATGTGTGGGTCCGTCTTTTTCTGAGCGCTTATTCCCGCCCACACCATGACTTAACCTCAACAAAACGGTCGTGTTTTGCAACGCATGCAACAGCTTAGCGTTTATTTGGACTTCTTTAAACCCTAGCCGTCTGTCCGCGAAGTCAAAACATTGACTCATCGGTGAAGACGAACGGTGTCCAATCATTTACTGTCCATGTGACATGAGTCTGTGCCCATTGGAAACGCTCTTGAATATGGCGTTCTGTTAAAGTAATGCGTTCGAGAAACGTTGGCGTCTGGCCTGAAGGACAATAAGTCGGTCAAAGGCTTGAGTCGTTGAACGTTCCCGACCTCCGGTCATTTGGAATCGGTTCCACATCCTGGAAACAACTCTCTCGGACACCCCAATGACATGGCCAACGTGCCTTTGTAAACGGCCATCCTCCAACATTCCAATACCCCTGTTCATCTCATCTTCACTAAGATGACGTCTAACCTATCGACTTGCTATAGTATATTAATTTCGAACACAGTTTTACAATAAAACGAGAGAAGTGTTGCTGCTTGTATACGTTTATGTGAAAGCACAAGGCCATAAAACAACAAATTTCTATGAGCATGCTTTTCCACGTGCTTATCGTGCAAGGTGTACATGACAAATCGATAACGAAAGTATACGATTACGAGGTCCCGTTCAGGTGTATCGTTAGCGGAAATATGATTTTAACATGATGATAATAGGACTGAAATATGCAATGTCAAAAAGGTGATCCTTAGCAAATTTTTAGTTTTATATATACTCATATTTACAGATTGTGAGTAACGGTGTTAACGAAATCATTTTAATAACAATACAGATCCCACTTTGCCACAGGCTTCAATGTTAACTGTTTGGTTACATGAAACAACGAAACCACGATGTTGAAAGGTCGACAGAACGATGGTGAAAACACGAAATTATATCGTGCATTTACCACCGTGGTGTCGTTATATCATGTTATATGTGTCGCGAAGGCCCCTACGGGGGTACTGTTACACGAGGGATGGAGTTCTTAAGATAACTCCATCCTTTTTGAAACAGTTCATACCCCGTGGTATAGAGTGTTCGTGACTCAATTACTGCAAGACTTTTTGGCTAGGAGTCTGGGTCAGAAAGGCTATCAACGTCCTTTACGAATTTACTTGATCTTGCAAGAAGTGTCAAATCTGCCCTTTTTGTTGTTGTTTTTTTATGATAATCCAGATTTATATTAACACAAATCAAGCTATTTGAATAATCGTATAGATCTATGTAGTTTGTGAAGTAAAATTATATTAAATAGATAATAATTATCATGATGGCAGTGATGACTTTGAGTTTAATACAAGAAAATCATTAACAACTGACGTTTCCAGCTAAGTTATGTATATTTCTCTCTAAGAAAACATATTTAAGTATGAGGTAATTATCGACAAGCCAAAATATTGGTGAAACCTACTTGAAATCATTTATGTAAAAGTTGATATTTATCGAAAATTTTAGGTAGAAATGTTGTTTAAAGACATATATTCGCGAAGAATGATAGGCAACTAACAACCGACGGCTTGCAGTCACAAAAATGCAACTCTGAACACTGTGAAAGGAAAACAATTGACTTACCACCTTTGTGTTTGATATACTCTGGACTTAACACTGCGGTTTTCTCAAGCCGACTCTCTATCTCTTTTGTGTCCTGCCCATTCTCTGCACAAACAATCAGCTCTAATAAGGCAGTCTGACAGGTCTTTCTCAGAAGCTCTTTAAAATCTGTGTAACCATTAGCACCTTTGGATCTTACGTTTTTCAATATCGTTTCATTCTTATCAGTTGGGTCCTTACCCTGTAACATTGTATTTTATCAATAAGATTCACAATTGTTTTATTTTTATATAAATTTAATGTTGATAACGATTCCAATACGTTCGGTATGCGTTTAATTTGTGATTCTATAGTAAGAATAGATTTTATTTTAAAATCACTTTTTGAAATAGCTTATGCGGAAATGATAGGTTGTGTTTGAATAAATGTAAGTTTCAAGCATGATCTAAAATTATTCCTCGAATGCCTCAGCTTTTATACTCAAATATAACAATTTACAATATAAAATAAAATTCACCATTGTCACAAACTCATAAAATACTGACAATTGAATAACGTAAACTAAACTGTACTGGTCTTTAAAATATTTTATATCGTACCTTGATATTCTTTCTGTCTGCAACTGTGAGTAATTCTGTTTCACAATCAATGATAGGATCAGGCTGCAAATACTTCTTGACTGCCACATAATTCTTAACAATGGCTTTACGGAAAATCTCATTATTGCAAGACTCTGCCATCTCCAGCTTTCTTAAATATAGAATTATAATCATCAAATAAAGAGCAGCGCTTTGTAATTTAGTTTGTAGTTTAGGGTCATTGGACTTACATTCGTTTTCTTAAAAATTAGGGTACACAATTAAAATCTATAATATGAAATACGCCAGTTTACTATTTGAAAAATTAACTTATATGTGATCGAACGCAATAATTTCATTCGACATTTTAGTACAGTATTTCAATAATGATAACCTACTTGGGTTGTGTATTGGACATTTTCAATTATTTAACATGGTCGCATGCCAAAACCAAAATGTCGGTTGAAAAGGTTGGTCCGAACGTTCAGTCGTTTTTTTTTAATGTTGCGAATCACCTTCTTATGTTACTTAAATAGCATTTGTTTTACAGAAAGAAAGTAATAGTCTTGATTATCAATTCAATGTTTCCTATGTTAAATTGTTAAAACAACACCCCGTTCAATATCATTTACATGATGAGCAGAGAAAAATCTAATCTATAATTGTGAGGCGTTTATTAACTTTCAACAAGTTACAGATTTCAGTAATCTCATTAATATATATACATACATGATAAAACATATTGCAAAAATAAGTACATATACTTTTTTCTATTGAACTTTTGTCTTTTGGAATAATTTCATCCATCTTTATATTTAATTTGGTTGAAGAGGGGCCTTGGGAAGGGGATACAATTTATATAGCCGACTACTCGCGTCCATCTTTAGTTAAATTCTATTGCTTCTTCTATTTTATGTTTGGTTTTAAATATCATTTTGACTGTCCTTTGAGCCATTGTTCTAAACTATACACCAGTGATACTCAAACATTCTTCTCTATTAATAAATAAAACATACAAGCCAACACGGTAATCAATGAAAATATCATATTTCTGTTTTGCTAAACTACAAGTAGTACTTTATAAACATAATGATTTTAAAATTGGTTATTCAATTTGCGTGGATGAGACCTTACAACATTGATCAATTCAAAATTGATCTTTTTGATCATTTTGTTTATTCGTTTTACTTGATCTGTTTTCTGTTTGTTAAAAATCTATACAAATTGAGTGGTTTGTTTGGCGTAAAGAATAATAATAATATATGATAAATGAAGGTAAACGATTTTCTACAAGATTATTTTCGACAATTCGTTAGAAGAACTACGTGCGAATGGTTACATTACGAGCAAATAACTACGTTTTTAAACTTTCAACCAAATTAAAATTCATTTATTCATCCGATTATAACATTATGAAATTAATATGACATAAGTATAGAAAGGTTATTGGCAAGAATGCAATGGGAGTACAGAGCGATAATAGTAACAATTTCCATGTTGTTTCGCTGATTGTTTGTACTTTTCATATAAAATGATTATGATAAGCCTTAATTGTGTCGATTTTCATTGCTGCTTTGGCCGAAATGAAACAAACTACACCATTAATGCAATTGCTCCTGTTGCCGAATAGAAACTAACTATACAATAAAATACAGTTAGTTAAAATTGATACGATGTTATTACTTCAAATAGTCTTGATACACTTTTCATCATGCAATGTTTAATGCTCGTGACATCTCTTTGAAAAATGGCAATGTTTTTGGTAGTTCAAGAACTATATAATAGTACAAACAGAACATAATAGAATATTAAGTTTGCTTAAAATAATAGTAATGCTTTATATCATTCATAAAATGATAAAATGGGAACATCAGACAGTAATTGTTTATTGATATCTTACGTTTGTGATAATAAGTTCATGTACACAACTATAGGTGTAAGTGTTAACCCTAGACTTAACCCCTTACTATGACTTAGATAATAACATAAATGACAGTTTGTTTGTTTTGAGAGCTAGACCACTCCATGCGTCTCGATAAAGAAATATGCGGTTGACTAATTCTACTTGGTTATTGTATTCAAGAAAATTGAAATATGAAACATGCGATTCCATTGAATCATAAGCGCATACTTTATTTCCAAATAAATGTCATACATGTACTTTGAAATCAGAAGTCAAAGGATGATAATATTTGTTTTAGTTGTTCTTTTTTGGCTGACTAGCACCGGTACTACATGCTGCTTATTAATGGAAAGTATGTAAAACTGTATAATTATGTTTACTATTTTATGATAAGTGTCTACAATGATATTTGATTCACAATATTTAAATGTAGATGGTTTTTTTGGTTGTTAGGTTTATCCTTATATTATTAAGATTCACGCCTACGGTGTCTCGAATAGCAACAATTAAGTTGGTATACAAAAAAGAAATTCGAAAGCATGAATCAAAAACCTGTCTTCAAAATTAATATATTTGCTATTTATTTAATTATTTATATGTTATGTCTGTAATTGACCTAGCAGAAGCAAACATTGTAATAATTTATTTAAAGTTTGATATTACCAACCTTGAATACGAAACTTGATACTAATTCCTCCTCTAAATATTCTATAATAATTAGTTCCGCTAACTGCTTTCTTGTTAAGGTCACGCACACTTACTTTTGTGAAAAGTTTATTTAAACTTTGATATAATGGCATAGCATTTGCTCATATAAAAGCTATACAATTACCAAAAGGTATTGAATATAGCAATTGTATTGTACATATTGAATCGTGAAATAAACGTTGAAGATAGCGATCACATGTTATCTTTTTCAACTATGATAAAATAAAAGAAAGTATATACGTTTTTGTACTATTTTAAATAAAAAACGAAATCTCTGAAGAACGCCCAAGACGGCATAATTGAAAATTCCAAATGTTGCAGTCCCGGTTTGAGTAGATAGTCCATAAACTCTACTGGTAAGTGAAGCCTATCGATTACTTCCACTATGTACCGGTTTTATTAGAATTCAACAGTTTGAAATAAAATTGTTGAGTTTCAAATTTAGAAACACCGGAAGATGTGTTCATACGATAATTTTCATCGATATGACACGTTTGTATCATTCCATGAAAAGTTGCGTATGTTTCCAAATTTTTTAAAAAATCTCGTGCTCTTAAATTAGTACAAAAATGCCCATTACTGAACAAAACGTGAGTAAAATATATGGTGAAGAACTTGCTTTTTGTGTTCCATAATCTTTGAATTTTGGAAAGGATATTTGCGTTATTGTATTGTAGAATAACATAAGTATAAATATGACAATTTCTATTGAAAAGGTCATGTTAAATTGATAGTTTATAAAACTTAAATTGCATGTTAGAGGCAGTATTTGTTTTATAAATAGTGACTCTTTAAGACTTATGTATTTAAAGTATCAGATTCAGAGTCCTTGGTCATGTATGGCAGGCTATTTATCGGCTACATGCTGCTTATTAGCTTGAGAATAATTAGGTATGACAATGATACATTCATTCTTTAATTATTGTTGCCAGAGCTGTAAAAATGTGGTTTACATGGTAGACCGTTCAGAAGTGGCCCTTTGAGATATGATCCATATGGAGTTTTAATTTAAGTTTTGCGATGTTGCCATTTTATTTGGTATATACGAGTACATTCATTTTCAAATGAATGATTCTTGGCGCGGCGCATGCATGAAAAGATATATCTAGCGAACAGATAAGAACCTACATTCACAGAGTGAATATGAATTTCGAGGACTCCTTTATATTTTCATTTTTTAAATAAATGTCCCTCTTTGTATTTCAAAGTTTAAAGTTACATTAAATAAATATGTAAAAATATTTTGCCGTCGGCCTAAAAATCAAACATTCTACAGTTTCATTAACCTGTTTAATAGTATTGTTGTAAATCTCATCAAATATTGTTCATAAATTGAGATTTTAAACGGGAAACCCCACGGTAACACTAAAGTTCGTATACGAATTTTAACATGCAAATGAAGACTATAATGAGCTCGTGTATGCGCTACGTCACAGTTTTATAGTTGTTATCCGGAACACAGCAAATGTGATATTTTCTTGTGCAAACACAGTTTTACCGTTTAAGCTTCACGGTGCACTAAACCTGGGATTCAGTAAAAGTAATCATCTCGTAAAAAGATTAAATTTGTATGAAAACATCCGTTACAATGCGGAAATATACCGTTAAATTAGGACTGCCACTTATAGTCATGTTTGTTGATTTAATATTGATGTACGGATGATCCGAAGGCGGGGTTTCTCATGCAAACAGAAATTGTACTTCCCATTTCGCCACAATGAGGCTACCTATTTTCATGCTAATAAAACTCATTTTGGTTGTTTGGACACCAAAATAAGACATGGAGTCGATATTAAACCCAATTTATTAATGAAATGTCGCTATTTATTTTTCTATGAAATTTATTAAATGTATCTTTAATTCTTTGTCCTAACAACCTTCCTCTGATAGTCATCGGCAGTAAAGATTACATTTCAACAATTTAAATTTTGCTGTTATTTTTCTTTACTTTAAAAAATCTTTGTCAGTCATACATTCCACACATATCTTTTTCCAACGTATATAGAACCAGTTCTCTGCTGTCTGATCGTCATTAATCTTCACACGCTCCTCTGATGTTATAAAGACGCAAGGCGTTTTAATTTTCAACTGAAATCATCTAACCAGGTACTGACATGCCATTGGAAAGTGATGCATATGGAAGGGAGCAAATCAAGTAAGTCTACCTTCATAAAACAATTATTATAAAATAATTATTACAAATTATTTCACGCTATTTTCTATATTCGCGTGAAATAGTTTGTAATAAATGTTTTTGTCATATTTTAGATATTTTGGGATCCATGCCATTTACGTTTTCTATAATAAGTGGTGATAGCTAAATGACTTGTAATACGGTCTATACAAAAATGTACTTAAAATTATCTTTGAAGGTAACGAGTTAGCTTTTCATTTGTCTTATAATAAATATTCAGATTGGCTGTTAAAATTGATGAGTTTTTAAAGGAAAATTTCAGAGTTTACTCTGCAAAATGTTTATAGTTACTGACGCATGTTTAAATATCGCAGTTATTCTTTTGTGCCTGTTGTGAAAATTTCAGTCAAACATTTTTGTTTGTGTC